CACCTGTGCAACACTTAAACACACACACAAGCACACACAAACACATACACATCATTTTAAGGTCTATATTGGCTGTGGTCAGAATTGCGATGTCCTTATCCCTAACTCTGTCTTTAAAGGAACAGTTCAACTTAAAACAGTTTTATGTTGCTGCTGTCTCAGTTACTCTTCATTTTTTAACCTTGAAAGACCAGGAAGAGGCAAAAGATGGTAAGAATGTCATCTTCAAATTAGTAGCATTTCATTATCATGAATTGAAACAGCAGGTTGAAAGAAAAGTTGTCTCTTTTACTTCTTAAAATATCTAGGTCCTTGTTATCACGGATATATCTGCTAAAGGGATGAAAGTAAGAGTTTTGAAATGTAAACACTTTTCAGTGTCAGAAAATAAACGAAAATAAACAGGAAGTGGCAGCTGATAAAGGGATAATGGTTCTGCAGAACGGGATTTCTTACATTTTGTTGGCCTCAAATGATGAATTTTGTTCATAAAATTGATATACAGGGAGCTTTGTGAGGTTTATTATGGTATTAATGAGGGATAGATGCAGTGATGTGAGAGTAAATGGGCACTGAGTACCTGAAGTCGTCCTTCTCCGCTGTCTACGATGGATTTAAAGAAGGTTTTCACCCTGGATTTTAGCACAAAGGAGAGTCACTTCACTGTGTATAATGGTAATTGTGGACAATTTATGACCCCTCTGGTCTCCATTTATGTATCGTTCTGAGTAAATAAACCAATAAAGAAATGATTGAGGTGGCCTATAACATATTGAAATGAGCGTGCTGGCAGAGATGCATTGTAAAGGTTGTCTAAATGATTATGGGAATGAAGATGGAGACGAGTGAGAGAACAGTGAATGAGCGACTCCATCACCAGCAAAAAAATCAACCTTTAGCTCCGAGTTCGCCTTTAATCTACATCCTTATGTTCACTTTGTCAATTTTATTAGATCACACTATGTGTGGCAGGGCACATGGCCGCACACACACACATATAAAAAACAATGATGATAATAGTGAGCACCTCCCCAGGTGAAGCCTATTCAGTCACAGTGGGAGCCATCTCAGACCTAATTATGCTTGGTGTGGCTTTTTAACTGTATTGATCAAAATGCTGAAACAAACGAGAAATGCTTATCAAGCGGGAAAAGAAGAGCCCTCAGGACTTTTTCTTTTTGTGTGTGTGTGGTGTGTGTGTTTGTGTAGGCTCCACAGGAGTGAGTGAGAGTGATGGCATAGGTCTAAGAGGTGGTGAGATATTGGTGGTTGTAAAAAATTGCAATTCTGAGCTTATGAGTTATTAATTACAGCCTCTCCTCCTTCACCTCTTTTTACCAGCCATTAGAAATACTGCCCCACACACATACACACACACAGCCACTTATTTCTTCACATATATGCAGGCCTTAGAACCTGCACAACCTCACACACACACATACACACACACACTAGATTTTATGCACACGCTTTTGCACACACAAATTAGATCGTCCACACCCGTACTAAGTGTACAATACTCTGCTCTGATGAGCAAGCTCCTGTCGACCTTGGAACTCTCCGGAAAGACAATGCAAGGGGAGCCGTGCAGCGAAAGAAGGGAGGTGGGGGTGGTGGGAGAAGATAAGGTGGAGGGAGGGATGGAGGGAGAGAGAGAGAGAGAGAGACAATAGATGAGAAAAGGAGAGCGAGAGACAGAGAGAGAGAGTGAATGTTCTGCTCAGTGTAGGGCAGCAGGGCAGTGCACCCTCCCTCCGCTCTGTCTCAGCTCATCTTGAATGCAAATGTGGTTTCTATACGGTTCCTTTGTGCCGCTTCTAACTGCTCCAGAGAGAAGCAATTACAACTGCTCCATTCACTCAGAGAGAGGGAGACACGCACGGATAAAGGAGGGTAATTAATAAAGAGATAGGAGGAGGAGAGGAGGTGAACATGTAGTACCTGTGGAGGATCTTCAAGTAGGGTATTGATTCTAAAGGGAGCTTTGTTATTGACAAAAAAATGGACATTGATGCTAAAGCTGACCTGGCTCATAATTTGTGACAAAAAACTATGGAAGTTCAATAGCATTACATCAGAGGTGTTGTGTAGAGGTTGCGTAACACAGTAATACACTACATCTGTCTTGCAGTTGGTATCCCCCGATCACCACACCGACAACCTCATAGTATATCATATCAAAAGAAGTCCATCTAAATATGACATCACCCTCCATCCGTCTCCATCTTTCCAGACGACAGATATTTGCAGTGCCACTGTCCTATCCTGTTGCAGGCTCAGTGGATGGGCGGCCCTGCGAGGTATGGCAAGAGTTTTTATGGCAGTCATTTGGGCCACTAATATGTCATCTCCATTAGCCGACTTTTAAAACTCACAGATAGATGGCCCTGTGACATTTATCTGCGAACAGCTCGTATTTTAGCTGTTAAATGACCGGCGATGTGCAGAGTGCGTGCAAAATGAGTATGTGTGTGTGTTTTAGGCATGTGGGATTGGGGGGGAGGATTGGAGAGGGAGATACATTGACTTTTAATGATGCTTTATGCTATAGCACTTTAGAGGTAATGATCACAAATACAATGCATTTTGTCACCTTTGGCCCCTGCAAACAAAAAAGGGGAGAGAGAGCAGAGAGAGGAATGGGGAGCAGCTTTAGACCTGCAGGCCTTCATCCTGGACAGCTGATGTAGACTGCAGCATCAGCAAGAAAAACATCCTGATACAAAAGAGAACCGCTAATTAACTTAGCAGTCTATAGAGAGATTGGAGAGGAAGAGTGATGTATAGATGGATGCAAAAATAAAAAGGTGGGTAGAGAGATATGCAGGCTAATTGCTCATATGGATTTTGCCATTGTTGGCTTTTGCAGGGTCAACAAGGTGAAGCCATTCCCTCCAGAAGCTCCAGGTGAAAGTCTAAATGAGATAGTAATTTAGACTCATAAAATGATACTAATATTGACATCCAGCACATGGGGAAGCATTAAGGAGATTCTGACCATAAAACAGCTGTAAATATGATCTACCATCTTGTCATTTAACTTATCACATACAGAGGATCCTTTTCCACCTCCCTCATAAAAACACCATCAACTCCGCTGCATCAAAAAAACTGAGAAAATGTTCAGTGTTGTTTTTTTGGAGTGTCACCCAAAGGAGCTCAGTCACCTGTCCAAAAGCTCTGAAGTTGACTAATGTGACAGAAAATTAACAATTAAAAATTTCACACGGGCCCAGAGCCACCGCAACGTGATGCGTTCACAACTCAGTGGACACCCTAATTGCTTTGAAATACAATTGGGTTTGGGCTTTGTTTTGTGTTTTGGAGGTATGAAGCGCATCACTGCACACTGGAAATTGAGTTATAAATTACCAAGATGAAATAGACATGTACCGTGAATACTCAATATCCAAATGCTAGATGTTCTCCGCTGCAAAAAAGGCAGATGTGTGCGCACACACGGACAGACACACACAAACACAAGATACTACCGCTTGCAGTTGCATTTCATTTTGTCAGGAAATTGACTTGCTCTGAACCAAACACTGCATGTGTGTGCATGGGTGTGTGTCACACTGTATTCCTGTCATGGGGTATGTTGATAAGGTCAACCTTAACAGCAAACAGAGATGGAGAGCACCAACCAAAGACCAGGGGGATGCTGAAAATGACAGTGGGTGAGGGAAAAGTGTGCATTCATCCACAGCGTTTCCACCAGCAGATGTGTGTGTGTGTGTGTGTGTGTGTGTACGTACGTGTCTGTGTTTGCCATGCCACTACAGCTCTGTGGCTGCTGTGTGAAGTCACTGACAGCTTCATTATGGCCCGTGCGCACAGGGAGACAGCACCATCCAGGGGAAGGAGAGAAGAGGACAGAGACGGGACAGCCCAGGTTTACTGTGGGGCCAGCCCATGTCAACTCAGCTGTTGGAGGAAGATGGTTTCAGGGGGGTGAGGGCATCTTCTGTCTTCTTTAATGAGCCTTTGCTTCTTTCATCAGCTTTCAATTTATAGGGCTGTCCAGCACTCTGGCATCCATCCCACACAGTTGGACGCCGTCTTATTTCTTGCAGGTAATTCCCAAGTGTGATATGTTGTGGTTAAATTAATTTGTCATCTTCCTTTAATTAGACCCTCTCACCTGGGAAAGCAGTGACAAGGAGTTGAAATGTGACCCCAGGCTTCTTGTCAAAAACAACATTGAAAGATTATTGAAATCAAACATGCACATACACTTCATAGATAATGCCCAAAGTAAGCCAACACTTCCAGTATAAAGAGAGATTCAGCTTGTAGTGAACAGGGAAGGAAACAACACCTTGATTATAGCTACTAAAGTTTATTAAATACACCTAGGTGCCTGCATATTCCATCTAACCAAATGTGTCTGATATAACAGCCCTTTGTAATACTACAAAGGTTGTAATTATTTAGCTTTTAAATTGTAGGTGTTGGGCAAAAGACATTTTTACCTCTTATTGAGTCTTATTTAAACAAAGACTCACTGCAAAACCTTTTAACAACTGTAACACAACATTAACCCAGATCTGGATATCAGCAGAGGTTTGACTTAATCCAGTTGTTCCTAATAAACTAGCAAATAAGAACACATGCACTACACTAATAGCTGTGTATGCCAATGTCATTTATTTTCTTTAGCAGTGGAGTACCACACAATGTGTTGTTTTTTTTCTAACTAATTTTAATAACTGGACATAGAATAATCAAGAACAACTCAAATGCACACTTAAATCTTCCACCAAATGCTTTAACAAACTAAAAGGACTTTTAGTGCAAGTTTTATGTCATGTTTGAGTCACCTCTAACAGCGCTGTAGACTTTCATCACCCTGCTGCTTTTACTTGAGGTCCTTTGTCTAGACTCCCTCTACTGGGCTGTAACAACAATGCATGACTGTTGCACTGCACATGTCAAAGACAAGAGACATCGGTGCCTATCAATTCCATTTTAAACAACACAACTCTGTCAAGATGCAAGGCTTTTTCTACTTTAAAAAGGACCATTTATTCATCATTGAAAAAACATAGAAGTATTCTCAAATATTTTCTTAAAACCATCTCAAAACACCCTTTACAATCAGTACAGCTCCAGTGCAGATAAAAATATACTTAGTAAATATTTAAGAATTATAAATTTGCTTTTACTATACATTTAAAAAAAAAAGTATTTTTCCAGCTATAATAACCAAAGTAGAGGAAAGCAAATAATAATTAAAAAAGTTACCAATACTAAAACAGAATTTTTCTCTTTGAAAGTTAATTAAGAAAAGCAAGAGCTCCAGGAGTATCACTTAGAGGTTGATGCATGAATGATCAGAGTCCAAACAGTAGAGAGGTGGTCAAGGTAAAACTGTTGTGCTTCACGACGCACTGAAATGGGTCTTGGTTTGTGAAAGACAGCTGCACAGCTCCGGGTCAGTGGACTCCAAGAAAGGGAGGGGGCTTTCCCTTAGTGTCGTGTCTACACTCAGTCCAAATCCTGACGATGAAGAGCAGCTGCGGAAGGGAAAAAGGGTGGGGGGGGGGTCATCATTGGAAATTAAACTGATCTCTTTTTTTTTTTTTTTTAAAGTAAACCATCTGTCCAAGCTCTACCTTTCACCGTCATAGTCACAGGAGGATGTCTTCTCTTGCCTGCTGACGTAGCCGCCGCTGCTGGAACGCTGGATGGCTTCAGCCACTGTGTACCTGGTCTTACCTCGAGCACACCTATCCATCTTGTGGATGTTCAGGTCAGACTGGAGGAACAGATGAAGTCGACTGTCCGATAACAGCAGAGGTGTATGAAGAACACTAGAAGATAAAGTTTATTTAATGACAACATCTAACAGTTTATAGGTAATATCTTTAGGTCTAATAGAGCTCTTACATTCAGTACATTTCTTAACTTCCTAAAAAGGCTTTCAGTAGGAGTTAATAATCATACCACTAGATGGCAATGCTATAATTTCACAGTTATTGTCATTGCTTCAGCTGCACAGCCACTCACTTTTCTAAGAACTCCTGCAGACCCTGCATCCTGTGGGTAACCTGGTCCTTTTTTCTCAGACTGATGAACGGGTTCCAGGGTGGCAACTTGGGTAATTTTCTGGACCAACAGAAACACACAATACTCACTCAGAAAACGACATGCTATATTAAGCTCCCACATGTCAATAACGGATATGAATCTGCGGTATAAAACTTGGGAACTTACATGATGAGGGCGTTCTGCTCCAGACAATGCCGCAGCCATACAAATTCACTGTAACGCCGCCTCACACAGGAAGTCTTCTTTCGAAAACACATGCTATTTGTCTACAAAGAGACATCAATTCATCAGACTTGTGAAAGCTTCATGACAAAGATTATATAAAAGAAAAATTTGAGCGGTTTCCCACAAGAACTTACATGTACACAGATCTCATAGTCAATGTGTGTGTGCCAGAAGTCGTCCCTGACAAGCCTCGGGTCTCGGACACAAATACTGATGAAGTCCTACAAAATTTAAAATGTGTTCTATTACTTAAAGTGCTTATAAAGCTGCATAGGTTGTAATGTATAACATGACAAGAGGAACACGATTTTATGGTAGTTTAATATCTCAATTTTAGGACATCAAAATTTCAGGCACACAAATACAAGATGAACTTTGAGAGATGAAGGGTGTCTACTTACCATTTTTGGTAGACTGCCTAACATATTATCCATACTCGCCACAAATACCTGCCAGAGATCGACACAAATACATTCAGTTGCCTTAAATTTCCAACTTGCATGTCATATCAGCAAAACAATATAACTGCCAGTGGTTACCCAAGTGACAGAAATGTAGCATTTTGACAAACATTTCAGCTCAACAGTTATCAAATGGAACTAGGTTAGTTTTATAGTAATAACCATTCAAGTAGTCAAAGTCCATTTTTTCAATGCTGGATCGGTTTTGCAAAACACATGCCTGTCTGCTGAGTAATACTTTATAAACTCAAAAGTGCAGACATTTGGAGCTGATGCAGCATAAAAATGGGCAAGGGAGGAGGACTTTGCTTGAGAAGGCTTTAAGGAAGCCTTAATAGGGACTCACAAATACAGCTTGGAACCATTAGAAAGCATTTTCCGGCACACTACTGGCCAAGCAGCTCATTCCCTATTTCCGGGCATTAATAAAGCTATGTTGATAGATGACCATAAGAAGTAACGATTGAAACTAAGAAAAAAAAAACTTCAAACATCATGTATATCTTGAACACCTGACAGTAAAATAAATTGATTTTTAAACAAGATAAAATACTGAATAGTCAAATGTGCAAAACAAATCGTTCAATAATGCTTGAATTTAACACTAACCTGACAGTTACTGTTAAACATGTCACCTTTGTGTTGACCTGTTGTCTCTTTCTCCAAAATAGTTTAAATAGCAGCAGCTAGTACTTTGTCAATACAAGAGATAATTGATCTCCAACAAATTGACACAAAATTCCTCTTGGGCCAGCTAACAGTTTACATGAGCTTTATCTGTTATTACGACAAATTATCCAAGGCTGAATCTGATAGGTCAAATGTTTGCATCATCTTATTGCTGTTCAGTATTTGCAACACAGAAAAGGACAAAAGATAGATTGTCCAGCCCTAGATCAAATGTTCCTCTGCATATCTTGAGCTTTAGTCAAGTCAGATTTAAATCATATAGACATATATACACAGACATAGGCAGATGAAACACTTACAAATACAAGGATCAGTAATGATGATAATACACAAATAACATTATAAATGACGTTTCAAATAGTTTCATTCTGGGTAGAGCTCATCATATGTAATCATCCTCAAACTAGACCAAGTCCTCAGGAGAGACACTGGACATAACTGACCTCCTACAAAACAAAAGGCTGCAGCAAATTCTTGGTATGCAGTGGCCAAAATCAAGCTCTGCTATGAAGTGTCATCTTTAAGCACTGTGGAAATGACTCAAACAATACACCAACATGTGCTGAAACCAGGCCACTGAGTTCAACACCCAAACAGTGTTCATTTATAATCTTACCTAGCTAACCTATATTTTATTTAACTTGGTTCATAAATTACAAAAACGTCTCTCCCATTCCAGGAAAAAAAAATATTTAGATCATTCCCCTCTAAACAAGTGTAATGCTGTAGACATGGCCCTATTGACAGCAGAGTAAAGGCAATGCAGCCTTTATTAGAAAAAAAAAAAACAGCAACTTGAACGGCAATTAGGACCTGGAATCAGCTTAATTCCATTCTCCTGTTGAATCCTACCTTCTCGGTCTTCACTTCTCGACCAATGACCCGTAGAGGTGTTTGTAGATCACCCACGAGCAGCTCAGCGGTGTGGCTCGAGTCTCGCGCTGCCCTGGACTGAACTACTGCTAATACAAAACTGTTAACTGCTCAGTGTGACCTCAACCTCTCAAATTGTTCACGCCTTCACTGTTCAGGGAAAACCATGTCCTCTCTAAATAAAATAATATCCACAAAATTAAAAAGTCGTAAAATAATCAATTTAAGTTTGTTTTAATGAAGCCACAGAGTTTAATGTGAAATGTGTCAGCAGTGGGCTATCCTCGCTGAGCAGCTGTCCCTAATTAGCTCACCTGATATGATCAGTGTGCATGGTTTCACCCGTGGCAAGAGGCGGTTATAACAACGGTGATGGAAAAGAACAGGATGGGCATGTAATGTATAAAGTTTAACATCAAAAGCCTGCTGTTCACTTCCAGGCTTGTTTTTAAATTGTTGGTTTAGTTTTCAAAGTCAGATTTCCTCTTGTATGTTGAAATGTGTCACTATTAGGAAGTGAACAAAAACATTTATATATGAACAAGAAAAGGTCTCTAATGTTCATTTTACACAGCACCTGTAGGTTGTTTTAAATGTCCTGTATAAATTGACCTGATTTGACAATAGGACAACTGTAATGTTTTTAAATTAGTAAATGCATGGGAGAGAAAAAAAAAACATTTAACTACCATTAAGAAAAAACAAATCAAAAGATTAGTTGACTAGCGTTATCATCACTTGCAGGATCTATGCATATATTTCTCAAGACTAAATTAGCTAATTATCAACGCCATGGACATATAGTCTTGTAAAATGGGCATTACAGAGAATTATTTTAAAATACATTTTATGACTAATATTTTTTTGTGTTTAGGAGTTTTGAATTTAAACTTTCAAAATCCAGCCCTCAACTTATTTGAATCTTTATTGTTTGAAAAAGGACATTTGCCTCACCTATTACCTGTTTCCATTTTTGTGATATCAAACTTTGCTGCTCATAACCAACAAGTGTATACGAATAAAGCTCATGTCAACCACAACTGTTACTGTAAAAACAACAGCAACACACACAAAAACAGTGCAACTCACTAACCTGACACAAAGTATGACTAATACAGATTATTTCCAGATGGAATTTAAAGTGCACGAGGATTTTTGCTGCTATGCAGAGTGAAGTTTGTTTCTTGAGGTACCCTTTTGACACTGAACAGGCACAGTAAGCATTTCTTATGGAGAAAAAAAGAGGTTACCAGGAGCAAAACAGTTAAACAGCAAAACTGTTCTAAAGGGGATTTAGGGATTTTCTGTGATCACTGTATTAATGTTCAATTAAACTCCAGCGTCCAGGATTTGAACACTCTTAATTTAGCATTCATTCAAGCTGCAGTAATATCCTTGCCCCCAGGGGTCTCATTTGTAAAAGAGTGCGTAGAATTCATGCTAGAAATGTATGTGCGCCAAAAACCCAGAAATGGCGTGCGCACAAAATGATTCAGATTTATAAAACTGTTCGTACGCACACCTGCACGCAACGTTCCCTTTATAAATCACGATCCACTTGGAAATGTGTGCAGGTAGATTAGTCCCATGTTCCGCCCTCTACACGCCCACAATCAACCATAAACGGTCGATGCAAAGCAGCTCGTGAATGAAAATGCATACAAACGAGGGGGCAGATCAAAGGTTTCCAGCGCTGGATCCCAGAAGTTTAGACAAAGAAACAAAACTTTTTGACCCAGAAACGGAGGAGTTTGTGAATGAAGTGAAGGATAAAATGGACATATCAGTAGTTTAATGCAGCAGGAGGATCACAAACTTAACCAAAACAGAGAATGACACCACATGGCTGCTGCATTCACCCTGTCCTATGTGCCAAAACATACGCCTTTCATCATTACGCACGAGTATATGTGCAATGTTTACATGTTTACGGGACCCACACTGACTTCTTCATATTGTCAGAGAGGTCACTTCAGTCCCCGTTTTGTGCGTACGCAACTGTTATAAATGAGACCCAGAACCATCCCTGTTTATCACAGAACGAACCACACAGTAGCCTACAACCAAAATGGATAGAGCATTATGTTAAATAATAACATCAAAGAGTTCATACCTTGATCCTTAGAGGTTTCTTCTAAAACCTTCTGCAACCTATAAGAGTGGGGTTAAAAGTGGGGATTATTACATAATCCACTGCCTTAAGAAGGGGTTTGAAGGGAGGGTAAACTTGGCTGATTTACATATAAAGGTCTCCTACTCTTTAGTCATATCAGCTGCTCCTATTCACTTTCAGACTGTCCTATTTAGCAACACCAGCAAGGGTTTCCTTTGTGATGAAGTCTATAGATAGTCTGATAGTCTGGCTGTGGCTGATAAGTGCAATATAAAAAGTTATTCAGACAATACTGACTCAGGAAAGGGCTCCTTTATTCTGGAGGACAACCAACATCTGCTGTACAAACAAAGCTTGGGATAACAACCCGGTAATACATTCTTGCTATGGCACACAAAGTCCCCTTTCCCCAATCACATATAGACCTCTGAGGTTTACATTAATACATCTCAGATCTACTAGTTTGTTAGCATAAAGTTTCTCTTGCAACAATATAAACCAGAATAACAATCAGAAATATGGTGAGATAAAATACGATACAATAAACGATGTGTATTACACATTGCTAAGTATTTCACATGATAAAATAACAGAAAAAGATTTATGTGATCAGGTTCAGTGTTAGAAAAGGTGTCTCGAATTTAATCATAGCGACTGTGCCATTTCAATTTCCTTTGAATGATTATTAGCTAAACCTTGTTGAATTAAAAAAAAACAGCTAAGTTGTCAGAAAATGTGCGTTTGGATGTGTGTTGATGTTTGGACTCTTGTACAGGTCTCATGTGTGCTGAGACTTCTGATATTTGCATACAGAGGCGGACTAAGCTGCACAGATACGAGGATTGATTTAATCAAGATTAGCTTGACCTCAAGCTGTCCAATGAATTTAAGGATAACGTCTTAACTTTCTCCACAGCAACAAAACCTTTTGATAGTTTTCTTAAAACACAGAATGACTGCATGAACCTGTATCTTTGGATTTATTCCATCTCAGAGTTAAGGGGCAAAGTGGACATAGCATGTGGATTTATAACATAAACATTAAACTTTTATAAACCCTTATATGGAGTATTTAATATGGTATTGTTGTCGCAATAGTGGTTCCTACAAACATTCTGAGGAACACGTTCATTTGTCATCCTTCTCAGAAATATTTGGAAAGACAGTGAGTGCCTGCTCTCACTACAATTGTTCAGAGATATCCCAGGGTTTTTTCTCCCCAGTGAAAACTGAAAATAACCTGGTTGCCTTAGAAACGTCATTTACACTAATGCTCAAGGGTGTAAAGTCCATCTCCCATGCCCTAATGCCAGTCACAAGACTCCACCCAACAGCTGCAGAGCCCTGCCATCTGGTGACAAGTCCCAGGAGAGACACCCCATAACTGCAGATTTACTCTGGAAAAAGAAATGCTGAAAGACATTCTGTTATCAAAGTAAGTCCTGCACTTAAAAAAATCTTCGATAGAAAATAAGGACTTGCTCTGATCACACTGGGGGAAATCAGGGTTTTAAAGAACGCAATGAATCATGAGAAGTGACTTGGAATCTCTCCATGTCAAAATACTACCTTAAAACCTTTGAAGTATTAAAAAGCAGATCAAATAGTTGGACACAGGTGGAGGTACGTGAGCACATACCAAAGGTCAGCACTTCACATATGACTGTGCCATGTTTGATCTGGACTCAATGAAAAACTTAAAGGGTGTTTCATTGTTTGCTCTAACAGTATTCATTCTGTGTCTGGTCCAATAAGATCCTGTAATTTTTGGTCATTACAATGATGTTGGATCCGAGTGCACCTTAAGTTTCCCTTACATGTTTTCCTTTTTTAACTTTGCAAAAATCTCCTTACAAACTATGGTGCATTAACGGCCTGCGTCCTACCACAGCTCTCCAGGACTGAAGCAGATTTCTCCAAGAGGTGTTGACCCATTGTGTGAGGAAAACAAAAGGAAACCAGGATAATGCTTCAGGTGAAACATCGAGTTAAACTCCAGTCAGCTGAAATGCTTCTTGATTCCTCTGTTAAAAAGAAACTAATGTAATTTTTTTTAAAGCTTGATTTTGGGGTTTTTATTTTGCTGCCTTTATTTAGAGAAAGTAGAGTGGATAGCAGGGAAAGAACCACAGGTCAGATTCAAACCCGGCAGCTATTATTGAAGGACAACAGCCTCCATGGATTAACCACCAGGCTACCAGTGCCCCACTAATATACATTTTTAAAACCAAGGTAATCCTTTTAAGGTGAGTACTTACACACATGGACAATCTTATAAATGGTCCACCTTACAATACCAGAATAAACCCAGAGTGCAACAGAAAGTGAACTTTGAAAACGTTATCCAGGAAACATGCAATAGTAAAATACATTTAATGTTCAAGTTTCAAAAACCCTTTCTTAACAATTTCAATATGCAAACTCTTATTTTCAAAAGGTCTCAAATTTCAACAATTTCTGTGTACCAAAACTAAGTTAAGTTGTATACATCACACCAACATTTCACCTAGAGTAAACTATGACTATGTTTTGCTTAAGTTACTTCCAGTTGAATTTGGTAACATAAAACCTTTATTAGAACATCAAATTATATTTACAGGCCCAGTATACAAAAAGCAGGTTCAGAGCAGAAGTGTGGAAAAAAACACAACGATCAAAAAGTCTTCAAGACAAAAGGTGGCCAACAGTTGACAGACCAAAAAGCAATTTAGAATACACAACATTTTGACTTTTTATTAATATGGGCATTGGTGGCTTCTATTTAAGAGTTTGGTTTAACTAAACTCCCTTCACATCAAACTGTAATGATGCTGGAAGAAGAATACATGAAAACACCATCACCTGCTCTCTTTACAATCCATCCAGCTCATATGTACAAAATAACTCTCCTTGACTGCTGCACACATTGCGAGTGTTGAAACATCTCCAAGAGAATAACTAAGTTCACTAAAACTAAAAGGCAAGCCAGAGGAGAAAATTCCATCCTGAGGAAAGGGGCGAAGTTGGTCCAAGGAACTGCAGAGACCAGAGGAAGAACTACTGAGCTTCATCCTCCGGACAGGCGTGCCACGTCAGTCTCTCCTCATAGAAAGAAATTACCACCTGAGGGCAACGAGTGTTGGCCTCACGCGCCGGGACCAAGTCTGCTTCGTCTGAGTCTTTCCTAAAGACAGAGGAGAGACGTTATGAGGAAAGAAATCCCTGATGCAAATCCCTCACCTATCG